TCTAGAGCCAAGCTCATTGCCTCGGTAAATGCCCCACACGGAAGTAGAGGCAACTACTATTATGAATGCCACTTTTTCCTCTGGAATTTTATCGCTGACACCAACTTCCGAGTCAGATGTGGTGTGGAGGTTAGTGTGATCCCACCAACGGCGGCTGACCGCAGTCAACGCGGCTCTTTATTCCTCACAATTATCATCAATTCCGGCAACGTACCTTTTGTAATCGCCTTATCCAATTTGGCCTGGGCCTGCGATGGGGTTTCGTTAACACCGACGCTTTCTTAGTCCTCTTTGGGGCTAATTTCCTAGCTCGCTTCAGTCTGCTAGTTTGTTTGAAGAGTAGCCGGCTCGTTGAAGGCCTAATTAACTCGCGTGCCCGCCGCCGATTTTAAATACACCTCTGTCGCATCCCCACCATGGTCATGCCCATTTCTGACTGTCCATACGACTCTCTAATCAACCAACTTTCATGCCTGACCAAGCCCTTATTTCGAGAACTGGACATAAAGTACACACTCACCTACCACATTTCCACCACTGCACCTCCCCAAGCTTGCCGACCGCGTCGCCGTTCTCCGGACAGTTCGAAGATTGCCATAGCAGAGTTCGAACACATTTCTGAGCTCGGAATCACCCGACATCTTCGGGTATCTTTCCTCTATAATGTTTCGAAGAAGACTGCTGAGAATTAGCGACTATTTGTCGAGTACGGTGTGTTGAATTCAGTGGCCATCTCTGATCAAGATTCCGTCCTTAATATCCGAGATTTCACTCTCTTGCTACATGGTTAGAGGTAGTATCGAAGACTGAGCCTGTTCATATTTAACAATAAATTCTATTGACGCCAGAGACGGGCAAAAAGCTATATTCACCAGTCTTTTGGGATTATTTGGATTCATTCGAACGTCCTGCGGAATAATAATAGTCAAGTCAAGTTTATTAAGGGAAATATAAACAAACGCCTTTGAACTCCCTATTGGTACACAGTAGTTAACAACTGCCTCGGCACAGCCGAACATTTAAAGGAACGTCGTTTACATAATCTTAGACGACTACTCAATTGTTCGAAGTAACATAATCACAT